TAAAAAATGAAGCAATGCATGACCAATGCCAACAACAAATTTTCTTATAAATCCCTTGAACCTTGAAATAAATGCTTTTAGCACAAGATTCTGTCGTTATTTGCTCTATTATACTGCTATTGATATTTTGGACTGGAATAAGAACCATGGCCAAAATGATTTACTCAAGAATCTGTGACCCACTAGAAATAAGAAAACCCTTTTTACAGTTCCTGGTATCATTGAAAGACTTTGATCAAGGTGAAACGAAAGGTAAGTAGAACATGTCTTGACGTGATTTAATATTCATTATTCCACGAGCTTTTAATAATAGCAAATTATAATGCCTTAACCATGACAGGCGCCTTTCGCATTAGTTTTGCCATGTTTCTATTCTACGGTGGCTGATAGTTTAAGTAAAGCATCGCTAACGAATCTTCAGCAATACACAAGCTAAAAACACCAACAACGAAGAAGTTTCTAACACCCAACGAACAAAAGCCTCATTTTATCTTCGGTATTACGAGAATAAGCCTGTTATCACAATGCAAATTTTTATAAACTATTCCAATCTCCGATGCATCTGGATAGGTTATGCCAGCTGATGTTTTTGGATAGCACAAACAGTTCGTAGTTACATTATTGAATGTAATTTGAGAAAATCTTTGCTAAAATTGGCTATAAGCAGTAAACTATTCTGAAAACTGTCCAGCAATCTCTTGAGCCTGGTCTTATTTTTTTATCTTATTATGCTAATTTGTCTAAATCGTCTTGCTTTGTGCGAGCGTGTGGACACGTGCTGGATAAGGGCTTTCATTTTCGTGCACTGGTTTCAACGGATTTAGGCCGCATTTTTACACGAGACAAGATCACATCGGGCCCGTAACAAAACTAGTAGGGGCTTGCCTCGTGTTTTACCAAGAGACCTTGCAGTTTCTTAACCTTCATATTATGGTTTTGATAAAGTAGTGCTTAGGGCCATAGCACCTATGGACACTGAGGGGCCGTAGCCCCCAATAATTTATGAAAGGTATAGTGTATCATTTCAAATTATCCTGCGCAATTAGTGAGAGAGTATTTGATAACATTTTGCGACCACCTCTCCCAACTCGTTGCCGGTTGCTACGAACCTTATAGATTTTTGATGGTTAAATCTATATTGATTGTTTACATATAAACAACCTGCTTATATTTGGTAATTTTCAATTTTTACTCAAATGTTTCGAAATCTTTCTAACTAACGAAATAACCTATAGAAAAACATCTGAAAGATTTGATGAATTTGACATCGTTTTGGTCAGCATTTGATTTATTAAATGTCGATACAATGTTTTGCAATTGCACAAACAAGCAGTATTCAGTCGCGTATAACTTTTTGTAAAATGGTGTTCCATTATAAATGTAATTGACAAGCGCAAAAAGGTCTTTATCAACCATGTTTTTGTCATTCATTAATTCATTAATTCATTCCTTCATTCCTTCATTCATTCATTCATTCATTTATTCATTCCTTCATTCATTCATTCTTTCTTTCTTCATCCATTAATTCATTCATTTATTCATTTAATCATTCTTATTTCTCTCTTTCTTTCTTCATTCATTCATCTTAGCCCCATGCCCCATGTGTCGTCAAAATTATTTGAAATACTCAACCCTACATCAGAAATGTGAGAAAAGTGTCCGACTTTACGGATAATTATGAAAATAAGACTATAAAGCAATCGATACAGAAACGTCAAGAAATTGGTCTGAATAATTGACAGGAAGCCTAATAAAACTCTTCATCGTCAGCCAAATGCATTTCAAAACATTATATAATCTATTGTAGGCGTTCATCACCTCCAGGATTTTAATAGACAAGCCTGAGACATTTCATCTGCCTGTTTCTTCAAAATATAGACTGTATTCATTCCTCTAATACACTTTGCAATTAAGGAAGGTAAAGCCTTTTCATTTTCATGTTTTATATAGGACTTAAATTCTAGGAATGGCCACGCGGGGGAGCTTGCCTTATTTAGGTTAGTCTCTTCTCTACAATTTTCCATATACAACTTGAGCATTGACATCTAACACGTGGAAACATAATGAATGTTAATAACAGTAGCATACAAAGCGGCTTGACCTATAAGATTGTTCCAATCTTCAATTACTATGGTAGCTTGTTAAACTCCGTTCATTATATAGCCTACCTAAGTGTCTACAACAACATACATGGGAAAATGACAGTATGTTTTGGTGTCTATATTGTACATGAAGAGTAACAAATGTGAGCTTTAACAGCTCCAGATTGAGAGTTGACCGTACTGAATATTTTATATGGGAAATCGTCTCTCAGATATTCTAAAGCATAAGGCGAATTCACTTTTATGAAAGAGGCTCTGATCATAAGACTAGTGTGAACAAGTCTACATGAATCTATTATCTGCTACTTAGAAATGCCACAACTAGTTTATAATCATTGATCAAGCTAGCAATTAATTTAGCGTGAGATTGTTCCAGGCTTAAAGCTTATTCGACATCTCAATTGAAGGAATTAGTATGTTTAGTATCTTTAAAAAACCACAGGGAAATAGCACTTTTCCAATTATAAACTGTCTGCTGTATGACACTTTCCTTTGCATGAAAGATGTTGATGTTCAGGAGCAAATCGTAGAGATATCAACTTGACGTGGAAGGCTAACTTCTTCTAAATTTGAAAGCTAGTATCGTTTAAGCTTTTGGCGAGAGTTGAATCACATCGCGAACATAACCTTTCGGACTTTGAAGATATAATACTGATTCAAGAATCATCCTTTATAGGATAGGGTAGGATAGGGTAGGATAGGGTAGGATAGGGTAGGACAGGGTAGGATAGAATAGGATAGGGTAGGATAGGATAGGGTAGGATAGGATAGAGTAGGATAGGATAGGATAGGATAGGGTAGGATAGGATAGAATAGGATAGGAGCCTTTTCTGGATGGTGCACACACAACAAAATGTTTCAGGTAAAAGCCATCATTTACTATGAATTTTACTAAATACATCGCAAATTAAACTAAATAGATAAAAATTCACCCCAAAGGACTAAGCTTCTAAAGCGATGCTTTTAAAACGATGCTTTTTATTTCTTTCATATCCAAAAGGCAGACTTGATCTGTTTTTTGCTTTCCAAGTACTTGGTTTAGAAGCTAATAATCGGCTGCATAGCTGACTGGAAACATTTCTTTGATGTTTCCGAAGCTGGAAAACAGTTTTTAATATACTGCATATCCTCTTCTAAATGAACTAAATAAGAGTACATTAGCTCTTACTAAAAGCAGCAAAGTGCAAAGCTAAAGTTGCGTCTAATGGCTCAATTACGCACTTGGCAGCTACAGACTAAATTTCGCTGACATGAAAAAGCCATCTTTCAAAACTATAGGCATTTTGTCAACTGGTTTCAATCCATGAGTATTTTTGAATCCGCTTAAGGACTCAACAATCTCCTCGTCGACATATAAATGCAAACCATATTCGGGCAGATTTACTCTAGTTTTTACAGCTCTTATATCAAAATTTTCTTCAGAGCATGCGCCATCTAGCAAGTGAGCAAAGATTATGTCATCAGGTAAAAAAACATCCGAGTGAAAAAGTCCACACCATACCATAAAATACGATACCATACAATACCATACAATACCATACAATACCATACCATACCATACCATACCATACCATACCATTCCATATCATACCATAAAATACGATACCATACAATACCATACCATACCATACCATACCATACCATACCATACCATACCATACCATACCATACCATACCATACCATACCATACCATACCATACCATACAATTCAACAGCAAGTTTACTTTAATGTTTAAACAACAAATTTTCATTGCTAGATATTGTGTACTGACACTTTGGTTTATTATATAACGTTCTTTATCGACAACTGAAACCTCTCAGTAAGCAGCCTCGTTTTCAAAAGCAATCATCTGTTGGGCAAACAATGACATAATATTGACGAAAAATTAGCATCATACAACTTTGCACAAACCATATTGAAACTGAACGGTTGATTATCTACCCTACAATAAAAGTCTGGGAAGTTGCAGACTGATTCTAGACCAAGATTGCTTAAGGGCATTAGCGTGACGTTCGAAACAACAACACGTTTATGCTTCTTTTTTCTGTTACACGCGTATGTCGAGTCAAGGGCTGAACCATATTTCCAATTTTTTTATTTACCCATAAGATAAGCGATATATTTCCATTATCTTCTATTGTATGGTATTGCGATATATAGTCAATGGAACAATTCAAAACTACGATAATCAAACTAAATATGACTCACGTTGGCTGCAATCTGTTGTCGAATCATCACAGTTAGTTTAATGGCATGATAGACAGCTTGAAACATATTTCTTGTGAATTTTTCATCGTTATTCATTATGTTTCACCAGAATAGGCCATGTAGCAGGTGGCGCCAACATGTCAGTTCCCAACAACAACTGCTGGGACTTTGTGTTCTGAAAAAGCTATCGAGAATCAGCTCTCTAGAGAACTGTCGCGGGTGTGCATGTGGGTCTAGTGCGTAGATTTACGTACCTCTTAAGAAGCAAGCACTTCTGCATGCCTTTAGAGTTCTTACAAATATTTTTCTTAAAAATAATTTCCTGATTGAGGGTATTTCCAACCAGAAATAATATTCATTGTTGTTGGCTCAAAAGACAGTTATAAATCTTGCAAATGGCTCAAAAAAGCTGAGACGGTCTCCGCATATTAAACACTTCCCCGACTTAGCACTCCGGACAGTGCAATCTAAAGCCTTCCTTTGCTGATAAACGGTGTACAGGCGATTTTTCTTGGAAGCTTTTCAAATTCTTTCTAAAATTACTTTTTAAGGCCTTGTCAAACTGCAACAGCGGATCATATTTTGAAGCATCTATGTGGATGAGGGGGCTAACAAAATGGTATTGATGTATTTTTGAATACTTATTTTGCCACAATGCAAGAAAAGAAACTACAAAAAATAATCTGCATTTCACAATCTTTGTAACTTGAAAATAAATCTAACATTAACAACAACGTATTTGAAACATAAACTTTACAAATGCATTTTGAGTTAAAAAATTTGCAATCTTTCAGTTTAAGGTGACTTTGGAAACATATGAAATAGATCAAAGAGAAATTGCAGGGGTAGCGTGTTATACAAGATTTTCAGGGGCAGTGGTTTAATTTTGAATCGTTTGCACAAACTCTGAAAATAATTGAAATCGCAGATGGTAATTGAGATTTCAAACTCGGCGATAGCAAAAACAATAACAACTTTCGTGACTACCACTGCTAATCAACAGCTTGCAATCAAGCTGTATTTTCAAGCGAAATCAAGCTATATTTTCAAGCGAAAGTTCAGAAACTGGCGAGAAATCAGGATTTTCCTCCTTTCAACGCCAAAACACCTAATATGTACCATATAATGTCAAACAGACAACGACAAAATCAAATCAGAGCTCTTCTTTAGGCTTCATGTAGCTTACTAGAATCCAAAACGCGCTCTATCTCAAAATAATGCCCTGCCTAAACGAGCTGACTTTCTCGTTATGGGATATTATGATACAACAACAGAAGGTTTTTATGAACTACGCTGAAAATAATACACAAAAACGCTAAAAGCTAAATCACTGTGCCAACTTTCGCATTGCACATGCAAAAACATATTGCAATCACGATCAAATCTATGAAGCTTCAGGGCCTTTATCCTTGCACAGGCTAAAAAAGCATACCACCGAAATCATTTGGCTCACAAGTTCAATATCCTTTATACTTGTCCTCGAGCCCAAAACCGTCTTCAGCCAATTTCGTAGTTGGTTCGTTCCTTAATGTACAGTAACGGCAGGCGTTAAAAACATATCTGAAATATTCCAACTTTTTCTCAGATCATACAGAAACGTATACCATATTACAATGCATGCACTCGTTTCTGCTGCCTTTGACGATAAATATCGTTCATCGGTGGCGCTATCATTTTTTCGTCGTCACTATCGTCGCCGTTTGTTGTCGTTGCAGCGATTGTTCGTTTTACGCCGCGTCGATCTGGGTTTTCCTGTAGTTCGTCGCTGGTTTCAGGGGATCCATTAACTGCAAATAAAAGGGAGCTCAATAGACCTGCCTGTTCAAGATCAGTAAAACGATCAAAATGTGTGGAAAAACGAACATAAAAACGAACATTAATCTATTTTCACCATGAAGCAAATAAAGCCTCGTCTTCTGAAGCATGTCATGCAACAGCTTGTACTGCAATCTCATAATGATGACAAAGTATAGGCCTAGTTGAAATTATGCAACCCATTCAACAAGCTTTGACAAAGTACTTTACTGGGCTTCAAACAAAACACCAACGGGCAATCAGTTATCTACAGGGAAATATGAAATTATTATTTGATGTATTATTCATAGCTGGCATACAAAAGATCTAAAACAAACCTTTCACGGTCGCTGTATCATCAATATTGCAATTCAAAATTAAGTTCATCAAATCGTCGACTTTGACAAATGGCCCCTAACAAAGTGCAAGCAAAATCAGTTATAAGTTTGACAAAGCCTTCAACTCACGAAAAGGCTTTCGATATGTGGCAAAAGTATATATGTGCAATACAGAGCGGTGCTAGGGCATGCAGGCAGGCTACGTGTGGTACAAATTCGTGAGATTTCTGTAACGGAAGTAAAACTAGAAAGAAACCTATCAAATTACAGTAGATTCTAAATTAATTACCTACAATTGGTAAATAGATAAACAACGTCTTCAGAAATTCGTCCACAGTAGTCTAAATAAGCGATTTCACAGTTTTTGCCGCCATTATGAATTGGCAAAAATGGCGGACACGCAGCAAACGAGCAAATTACCGCAGAATTTCCAGTCAATTTTGTAGCTAGAATTGCTGATAAAATTAGGCAGCAATCAGCTAAATTATAATTTAAATGTTCCTTTTTTACAATAAGCAACTCACAAACAGCGTTCCTTGTTGTTTTCCTTGTGATTTCACTGCTGACTTTGACCAGGCTGAAATCAGTCCCCTTTGACCTCTCGTACAAAAACTTCCGCTTTTCGATTCAAACCTTGGTGAAACTCGTTATTTCTAGCCTGTTTACAACCATCTTGAGTTGGACTCTCTTCATAAATTCACTTGACGTCAATAAAACCTGTACGAGACATCAAAACATCGTGACCAATTCTATGATCGTGACGCATGTAATGTAATGGAGGATTCCCCTGTATGGCATCCCAGCAGATATGCCTCTCATGCTATACAGGGGAATCCTCCGTCAATAACATGCGTCACGATCATAGAAGTGGTCACGATGTTTTGATGTCTTTTACAGGTTTTATTGACGTCAAATGAATTTCTGAAGAGAGTCCAACTCAAGATGGTTGTAAACAGGCTAGAAATAACGAGTTTCACCAAGGTTTGAATCGAAAAGCGGAAGTTTTTGTACGAGAGGTCAAAGGAGACTGATTTCAGCCTGGTCAAAGTCAGCAGTGAAATCACAAGGAAAACAACAAGGAATGCTGTTTGTGAGTTGCTTATTGTAAAAAAGGAACATTTAAATTCTAATTTAGCTGATTACTGCCTAATTTTATCAGCAATTCTAGCTACAAAATTGACTGGAAATTCTGCGGTAATTTGCTCGTTTGCTGCGTGTCCGCCATTTTTGCCAATTCATAATGGCGGCAAAAACTGTGAAATCGCTTATTTAGTATATACTTAGAAATTCTTAGTACCATTTACGTGATTTTGGTGCCTTTCTTTTAGTTAATTGTGTACATCAAAATTTGTATATAACAGGCAAGAAAAACAGCTTTTTACCTGGAAGCATTTTGGGGGAGGAAGGTTGGCTAATATCTCCATTGCTGCATCAGGAGGCGGAAAAATTCCACCAGGAGCAACTCTTGGTCCGACAGCTGAATAAGAAACCATTGCATTGATTCAATGAAAAGCAATACTGTTTTATCTATTCAAAAACATTATCTAGATCGAGGCTGTTTTTATCTAGATCAAGGCAGAGGCTTTATATATGAAACCAACGTTGTCTGTCGAAAATACCACAAATAATCTAAATTGTTTGTCTCTTTTAGGGTTAGGTAGGTGTTAGGACACAAAAGCTGTGTTTATCGAGCATTGTCCTGGTCCTTCCCTTCGATGTGACAACCCCTCGGATTCTTACGCCTGAGATCACAGAAAGCTGGCGACTCTCCTCACTCAAAGTGAAAATTTGCCGATATCAGTGACTCGAACCAAAAACCCTTGGATCTTCAATCTGCGGATCAATCTTGCTGGATGCATCAGAGTTTTATGGTTTCCTTTCTTTGATAATAACCCGACTCAATGGGTTATTCTTTCTCAGATTCGGATTTCTCACCAGGAAAGGTTTAATCTCAAGAAAATTTTCTCATGTAAAAAGGTCGATTTAATCAACAGTAGTGTGAAAAAAATCTGAAGTTTAAATCGGTTTAAGTAATGGCGTGAGATGTCTGCAGAACTTAACTACAATATCCCAAAGATTTTAAAAAGGGGATAATCATAACAAAAAAGGTGCAGTTACGACGGTAAATTTTTACAAATGAGATTAATCAGCTGGAGTTAGCTGGATATTGCAAGACATTACTTGGCCACGATTAAAAATAATTCAAATTAATTCAATCGCAACTCAACACTGATCGAATTCTCCATTTTATTTATGATAAAGTTTATGCTCCTTGTGATCCTGTGAGAACATAAGGTCTTTTACAGCTTAAAGATCTCTACTCGTTTCTAAAATATTTGAAAACGCAGAGTGATTTTGGCATTTTTTGCTTTCCGTTCTTTTTTTAAAGTTCTTATCCATGTTACTTTTCTCTCTTGTTTCAATTGCCATTGTTACTCTCATTTTTTCCATTCCTTCAGTTATTCTCGTCATGATACACTTCAAAGGTATGTCAAACGAATAGGTGTTTCAATAAAGTTTTGCATCGTTTATTGAATACAAAAATGGGATACATGAAGGCTAGAAAATGCAACAATCTTCACCATCCCATATTGCTCTTAAACCCCTCCCTCATTTGAAAGGCTCAATATCCGCCACTAAAGGGAAATATTTTTGTTTACAACAAAACGGGGGTTAATTGCATTTGCTATACAAACCTGCTGCACCCGTCGGTATTGGTTTGAACGCCTTCATTTGGGAAATGTCTGGTTTGGGAAATTCAGGAGGTTCGTCGTTGATTACGGGCAACTTCAACTTGATCCTCTCTGTTGATATCGAATTCAAATTAGCCAAGCTGTCAGAAGTTTGATTTGCCTGCAAAAATTAAAATTCCCTATCTTCAAAAGCCCTTTTATATTTTGCAGGACCTTTTGCAAAGTAGCAGATTCTATGGTAAGCAACTCAAGGTTATGAAGTTACTTAATCTTTGGAACAACGAAATTTCGATTTGGAACGAAGAACAGGAGGACAAAAAATTTGATTGCCAAGCTGTCTGAAGTTGGATTTGCCGACGAAAAACAAATTTACATTTTCTAACTGCTAGAACACCAAAAGATATGCTTATATTTTTAAATAACTTCTGCGAAGCGAAAATCTGTATGGTAACGGAATTACGAAATCGCTGGAACAATGAAACGTCGATATGGAACAAAGACATGAGGACAAAACGTGATACACTGAAGTGTATATATTCCGGTACTCTCTGTCAACTTCTACATGGTGAATGGATAAATGAGACAAGGAAAGTATTAGCTTAATTATTGATAATAATCAAATTAATTATTACAAATAATTATAATGGTTAACTAATGTATAATCTACCTTGTATCCCATGCAACCAAGTTCGTTTGCTGAGCAGGGTAAAAGGTCAAGATAGCGATATCTATCCAGTAACGATAGGGTTTCGTTGTCATCAAAAGTCTGCGAAAGAAAGCAACAAATATTTAGGATTTAATTGGCAAATAAAAAATTTTTAATGCCAACAAAATATGATCATCCTGTTTTAAGTATTGTTGACGAGATTGATAAAAATTTATTCACTTTCTCAACAAAACACACACCACACATAAACCGGGACTTCTACATCATATATTAGTTCATCTATTGAAACATTTCAACTCTGTATAGTGTGAAATGCATTCTTTTATCCTTTGAGTCACGAGGAGGGAGGTTTCTGATGTTTTTTATTGCTGAATTTATCTTAATTGGATTAAATATTGATCTAAAAATTTTAGCTCAAAAACATTTTTACTGACTTCAAATCAAGCGACATACACAACGCCTGAAAAGCAGATAGTAACGTAAAAATTTTAGCAAAATTGGAAAAATCCGGAATATTCTCCATGAAAGTGCAAAAAAATAAAGCCATTTGACGAGCCATTCTGCAAAATATAAAACTACCTTGACAAGTTATCAGAGCTATTAAACAGAATAAATCAAATTATTCACACCTCTGTGCAAATAGCCGATATTCTTCGATCAATTTTGATGATACTCGCGAGGTCACCATACTGCGACTCAAACTGCAGGTATCTTGACATAATAACCCTACTTTGTTCTTTCGGCAGTGTGTTCAAAATTCTTTCGAACAGTACACGTGTGTTATTGTCATCTGGAACGACATAATGTTTTTCGCCAACATCATTTTTCGTTAAACATGTCAATTATAATATATATATACCTGTAATAACAGCTATGAAAAATAATACAGAAAAACCTTTGATAAATGAGCACCTAATAATAAATTATTTCCTGCATTTATTCCCTATACAATAAGGCCAAAGACAATAGCCATTTCCCTATAATGGACAGTAAACCTAGTCCTAAAAGGCCCCGCGTTTTGGGGGCCATGACCTCCCCTCTTTATTGCAAAAAAAAAATATTAAAATCAGCTCAAATTATTCAAGATAGATGAATCTGTAGATTCAAACAAATACATTGAACTGAAGTCCATAAGTAAAACAGCGTCAGCAAAATTTTTGCCCCAATTGGGGCTAGAGGGGGTAAGAGGAAATTTTATGACACTGCTTGCCCCTCCAGTCTAGAATCAGTGGCGCGGGGCCTGGCTAAAGGTGTCCGACTTGTGGAAGTTTCATCGAATTCGTCATTACCATAATCGCCATAGTGAGAAGAATCATGAACGAAATTTGATGCAATAAAATAACGACTTTGTACAAGAAATGAATATTTGGTGCGACGTTTCGAGCATAACTCTTTGTATTGGTTGTTGAAGATTTAAGCTCAAAAAGTCGTACCAAATATTCATTTCTTGTAAAAAGTCGTTACTTTATTGCATCAAATTCTGTTCAATTTCGACGTACAACAATCACAAGTTCATTGATTGTCAATTGAGAAGAATCATGTCTATCATAACATCATAACCAACAAAGCCTTACGTCAAATCAGTTACAGTGGTCATGATCGAATAAGCAACTAATCATTTCTCATTCTATCAATCCCTGATCAAAGAATCATTTAATCTCAAGGAGCGAAGAAAGCCACTAAGATCAATATAATGACCCCTCACCATTCAAATAAATCTTGTATTCAAGGTACTGTAACACATAGTCCGTAATGCTTCCGTATTTCTAAGGTAAATCAAATATAAGTAAATATAAGTAAATCAAATACGATAATGTACGCTTAAACAATAATAAGTCATATAGGTTTAGATAAATTATCAAAGGTTCTGATGATAGAAAAACTAAAAATAATGCAGATGGGACTCGCCCCTTGAAAAAATTAAGAAGCAGCAATTATATTTATTTTTAAAATGACAAACAAATGTGGGCAAATGTGGGCAAAAGCACAGAAATAATAGTGTTGTCTGTGTCATATTTAACTGCCTTTGTGCTTTCAAATTTATTCTACGGCTTCGAGATGAATTGCCAAATTTTTCTAACGCAAAAATTTAAGGATTAATAATTCAATGCCATCATCAATTCTCGCACTTGAACATGTAGTGCATCGTATTTAATTGACTAAAGGAGTTTTCGCAATTGCCACATGGCCATATGCTGGCACCGGTTGTGTCCAGCCGGTGAATATCATTGTCTTTCAAAAGTTTCCTCCTAAAGTGACATTTGGTAGCTACTGAAAAACATCAACTAAAAACAGATGAGCACACCAAAGTAACAAACATTTTTACGGTGATAGATCATGTCCAAAGTAAAAATGAACCCTATTTTATTGAACTTGCAAGGTGGGTAATCAAACAAAATTGAGAATATCATGCTTTGGTACACGTTTCATAACTTCAGACACATTGCTAGTCAAGTTCACTGGTTCAGCTATACATTGATTTTAATCAGAAAGCGTGCAGTTCTGGGTCTATGATTAAGTTAAATCTAGTATAGGCGAGGAGATTGTTCATTTAGCAAAATTCAAAAGAAGAGTAGTTTAACGACAACTTGAAAGGGTTTTTATAGCTTTTTTAGAAGCAGGTTTTATCCTGACCACAGAACACTATTAATGAATGGGCAATAGGCTTGCCTTATTCGAATACACATTGAAATATCAGCTAAATAAAAGTTATTCAATCGAACTTTAGGGGGTTGGTAACGCCCAAAGTACAGGAAAGAATATTCGGGCAGGAATTACTCACTAAAAAGTAGTACAGTTTTCTTTGAAAGTATAAATATAAGTAAATATTTAATGGAAATGATGACTTAGTTTCGTTTTCATTTAAACTTTAGCTACGTTTCAAAAGGAGGCCATCTTGGGCGCGCTACAGACGAGGTAGGGTATGTATGCAAAGACTGTTTTAGCTCAAAACATTGAAGAATCTAAAAAGTCTGCATTGGGTTCTATATTTCATACGTGTGTTAAAGGAATTTTGCATTGAATAAGGGAGTATCCAATTGTAGCATATGGAAGTATTGTAGTTTGATGAATATAAAAACTACGATTGTGCGGGGACAAGGAGCGAAAATCAACCAAAACAAAGATCTTTTTCCGTCGACACAAGATCAAATTTTTCGACTTTGCGCAGAAGGATTTCAAATAAGGCTCTCACAGACATACCTTCATTCCAAGTTCGAATATGTTATGTGCAACTTTTGAATCCTAAGCAAAAAGGAAGAAATAAAAAGCTAATGTTGCAGATCGATCATAGTTACCATATTAATGGAAAGTTAGCTTAAAAACTGAAAAAATAAAGAATTACAATTATCAATAGATCTGATGAATTCAATACATTACCTTATTGCAAAAATGCTCCATGAGGGCAGCAACCACAAAAACCTACAGAGAAGAGTAAAACATCATGTCCCGTATCCACATGAGCAATTTAGTAGGAAAATCAGTACTTTTTACAACAAAAACCTATTGAAAACAAAACAAACCTGTGCACGCATTTAGCTCAAAATCAAGGCTTACAAAAATCATGAAGTTTTGTTCAGTGAACGTTCATTTAACACAATAGAGTTTAAAAGTATACCGGGAAACGCAAGCAAAAGAAATTTTACAGTTACTGTACATACGTGATATTGACTTCTGGGATCTTCTCGTGCTTTTCTAAAAATTGCACGACTCTCTTTAATCCCCTCGGCACGTCTGGAGAATTTCATATATTGGATGTATATCTTAAACGAAAAAACAGCCAATTACAATGTAACAACTAACATTTGAAGAATATATTGGCATCTCTTAGAGGATTTGAATTAGTCAGATAAAGAAAGCAAAAGATTTTATGACTGGACAATTTTTGCTTTCTACATATCTATAAATTTGACAGTCAAGATTCAAACGTGCTTTAAAGGCAGTCTGTCCCCTATTGTGCGCAACTTCTTTTTCATGGGAGTGAAATTCATGCACCGTTGAGCTGATCGATAATTAAACGATTCAAACCATTCAGAAACAACATGGATTCCAGGGCTTTTGAATCAAATGGCTGTGTTCCCGTTGAAGTGAAGCTGTGGCTAGAAACATTTTGTTCCCTGTTTGATTTTTGGGACAGATATGTCAACAGCGAAAGGAAATGCTACCCTTATCATCAGTCAATTCCAGTAATTAAATCTTATTGCCATTCCCGATAGCTTTTTACTCGCAGTTTCAAATGTCGTCCACTACCGCAGCTAGGCCAGCCAAATCCGTTAAGGTGGGAAGACCTATTGTTCATATTAGCCAATCATTGAGGGGACCGACTGCTTTAAAGATATAAACCATAAACATACAAAAATAGAGCATCAATGCCATGCTTCGTTTAAAATGATATTATACGAATTGCTTGTTTATAAAATTATAAAGCAGGTTTAACATCAACGTTAATTGCAACTGCACCTGAATCCAGTTGAATTGCTTGAAGAATGCCACCCAGTCTACCTTTATCAAGAATGATGTTCAACGGAAAGCATGTTTGTCATTGACCTAACGGAAAGCAAGGCACACAATATCCAGACGCATTTGTCTTAACAACTTACCAACGTTGGATCAGCATTCTCTTGCTCGATAAGCTTAACATATATTTCGTGGACTTTTTGAGTTCGTTTGCGGCTCTGCAAATAAAAAAGGTTTAGCGATGATACAACAATAACACACGAGCTACAAAAAACAAGTGGCCTAATGACTACCTCGATCCTTTAGACACAAGTTTCCTAGTCGCAGCACTATTGTGACTGCGAGGCTGCAAGGAAAGAAACTGGCCTCTCTATATCCTCATACTGTTGGCCCTGGACAAGGCATTCTCAATAGCTACAGGTTTATATAAGAATTGCCTTAATTTTGCCTAGGCGGTCTCAACCTTGAACTCTAAAGCCATGCCGCTGCAAAAAGATTACGTCACAAAAACATATATTTAGCTCTTTTAAACTTTGAACATAATGGGTATTAGAGTGCGTTCAGGGAAGCAGTTTGTTATACAACATGAAGTTCTAGAAGGCTGTTTAAGAACTAAAAATCATTTAAGTAAGAAAAAGTCAAACGTGATAAGCAAAAGTTTCCTCTTGATCAAAGGCGCTAAATAGAACATTGGTATCTGCTATGAATTATCATTGACAATTCATCGAATAGAATGATATGATAAATAGATTCTCTGAATTGGTTAAGTGACTTTGCCATTTTTATGGGTTATTGCATTGACCAATTTTCTCTACAATGAACTGCAAAATAATTCAGCGTACTGCGGTGGTCACATAAGTGACCCAATTTTACAAATCAAATTTCAGCGAAAACAGGTAGAAATTTGAAACTGGAAGCTCCTTTATGCTGAAAATCAAACTTGAAGCAAATTATATTTCCAAAATACGTTCACACTGAAATTTTCACATGTCACCTAATCTAATAACCGAAACGCGAAATAGCTAAGGCTGTTTAAAAACATTACACTTCTCAACTTCTAAAACACAATAAAAGGTTATATGGGGGATAAGGATAATTCATTTTTAAGATCTTCTCTTTGCCAAATTCTCCAGCCTCTTTAATTGAAAAAACCAAACTCCGAGCAATGTAGAAACAGGTGAAAATGGTTTTAAGACGGCCAAACTAGAGCGGAAACTCCAAAAACGTTTGTTGGAACTGATCAACTCAAAAGTGTTGGCTACAGAAATTTATGATAGGATAAGACCCACGGGCTCTCAACGACCACAAATGTATGGCCTCCCTAAAATACACAAGCCGAACGTCCCACTTTGACCTATCTTGTCTATGATTGGTTCAGCACAACACGAACTGGCTAAGTGGCTTTCTGAAGTTTTGGACCCTGTTCTTCAAAAATATTCAAAACATTGCATCAAGGATTCTTTTACGTTCGCTGAGTTCATGCAAAACTTGAACATCGAAAACGAAACATGTTTTAAGAAGTGTTGAGTGTCCTGGCTTTTTATAGAGATTAATACATCCAAGTTAAAGAGCTGCGCTTTAGCGGTCTATCAGCGTAAAGGTCTTTCCCAATTGAACTGCGTTTGTCCCCTTGCTTCTGAAAAATGTCGGTGCAAAAATTGTGAAAGGGAAATACAGCATACCTACTTAACGGAGCTAAAGAGAGATACCTATTTAAGAGTAAACTAAAACACAGGAATACTTTTTTGGAAGAAGGTACAATGTAATTTGCTGTCCGAAACGATTGCCTACGTGTGTATGTGTGCAAAAATCATGAAACTCAATAGCGATAACTTGATTTGCAATATTAACGTGAACGTCTTTATCGTTACAGGGTCCGCAGGAAAATGTTTCTTCTGAGGAAATTTTTGCCTCCTGAAATATACCCTTGGCACTAATTGCGTCATGTAATTTCGTCATTTATCACGGACATAGAAAAATTAAAGAACAAAATTGAAGCCAATTTGCAACAAGTTTTCATGATTTTCTGTGTTTGAGGGCTAATGGCGTTCGACATATAAACGGGCTCTATCCTTGAATTGCGTTGCCGTCATTTTTTTCTCCGCGGTTTTACCATACGAAGTCATACTTGTTACTGTAATTTTCATATACGGTATCATAATTTTTAGGTATGATCGTATGGCTGTGCGCCAATTTTTGAGCCCTGAAACACTTAGCAAAAGAAAATCGAACGAGGAATTCATAAACAATCAGAACACCAATGATCCTTACTCTGACAGGTATAATACAAAGAGCCATAGTTCGTTGATTACCTGCCTGATATTTCAAATTTTTCAAAATCACATCAGAAAATGTTTTTTTTCATAATTATCCCTTCTCAGGCCAACTTTCAATAATTCGACCTCTGATAACTTGAAAAAACTATGACGTTTCATACGCAACTGGCTTTTCTAAACACCAAGTTCCAGAAAACCTTTAAGGCAGTTATATTTCGTGTGTTAATTTCCTGGCCAACCAATTGATGGTTCACCCATGATACTTTTAAACACATCGATATGTCCTTAGACAGTCTTCAACTATCTTTGGGTGGCTTAAACAACACTTGACCGTCATTTGCTGCTTCACACCGCCTTTCGCCGCCTTTCACCACCTTTACTGCCTTAGAACTGCTTTAGGCCGCCTTATCCTGCCGCAAACTACTTTAAACCGCCTTTTACTGCCTTAACACTGCTTTAGACCACCTTATGTGCCTTAGGCCACATATACTGCCTTAAACTACTTTTGACCGCCATAAACAGCCTAAGGCCGCCTAATACAACCCTAAACTGCCTCAGCACTGATGTCCCTTAAATCTCGCCATTCGTACTTATTATCTGTAGGCACATTTTGTTCACAAACAATAAACAAATTTTACCTCTTCAAAATCAGCGTACGCAAAGTGGAGCATCAGATTACTCTTCAGCAGTGTTGAAGTTGATCTCTCGTAAAAGGAAGCCGCATCATCGGCAAGTTTATTGCCAGTAGTAATATCCTGCAACATGTAAAAAGTTGGTGAAAGCTGTAGGACCATAAGGAAGCCACTACTCTTAAAAAAACCCACAGAGAGACAAACAATGCCCCGCCAATTTGCTGGGTCAAGTCCTATAGCTTCAGTTTACAACTTGACATGAGAATTGACAGGGTTTGGAGTTAGCTGTTCTAAAGGTCGAAATGAAAAATAGAAAAACTACAAAGCACAATAACAAGTAAGGTATTTGAGTATAGTAAGTATGAAAAATGATTTGATTTGAATTATCAAGATGCATTGAAAGGGTAACTTGAAAGAGCATAGAAAGTGCAGAAGCCTCTATAATCCGGAGCTCTGTTCATCTGCCGACCACGTGTGTATTGAATTGTCAATGGAATAAAAAGATGCAAAAATTTTAAAACAAGAGTTTACTTTTCGTTTTTCAGCAATCAGACAACAAGCTGTAGTCTTGGCAGATGTAATAAAACTAGCAGTAATGAACTTTGAACTTTGGAAGACGAGCACAAGTAAACAACCAAATATCTTTGAAGCCATACAGCGACACCAATAAATAATATGAGCAGATAATAACATCTTGAGATAGATGACATCGCTTTCTCTTATAACATAAACACAGATAATACTGACCCCTCTTTCCATCATTTGTTTGCTGTGACTCTCAAGGAATAATGCCGCTTCGTACCACATATCCGGATGAAATCCCATCGTAAGTAGAGCTTGTTCGTAGGCAAATGTAACTATAGGAACAAAGATAAACTGAGATTTTAAGAACCTACTTAAATCTATGTTGCTACTTTAATCCACGTTACAGAAATTATAAAAATACTTTGGTCTAAAGATTACCATTTAGTCCAAAGTTTTTACCATTCCAAACAACTACAAAATGATAGTAAAGCAATCTTTAGGATCCCTATTCTTACCTCGCAAACATTGAGCGGAAGGTATACAATTTCTTATTGTAAAGATTGAAATCAGGCAAGAATTTGACAAGCAACAGACAAAACAAAGTAGTTTTAGAAAAAATTAAAGCAGTGTTAAAGGAGCTGGGATCGAGTCGTCAAGCGCAATGAAGGTAGTAGCTATTCACGGGATAATGAACTTAACAAGCAATGAAAGACCTTTAATAGATTTGAGATAAATAATACCTTTGTCACATTTAAGGAGAAGATGAAAATCTTTGTAACTTTGAAGCAGAAAACGAAAGAACTTTGTGACATGTAAGGAGAAGCTCTAGTGTTTTCGACATAGAAGCATGAGCAAAACACGAGATTTTAATACACTTCATTTTGGCGAATAGAACAGGGCAGTTCTAATTTGCTAATCTTTTTGGAGGGTACTATAATATTTAGTTGCTATGTTCCTGGGGTTCTCGGTATTAATTGCTTGAGTTCTTAGTTAGGAGGCAGTTAAATAGACAAACTTAGGCCAGTTTGTAGGCTTATGTGATACAAGATGAAGTAAAAACATTAGGAGGCAGCTACATTAGAATATTACACTTCTCAGTCTTGTTGGCTTGCTTGTGCTGCCTTTCGATATCCTTGCCTTAAATCTGGTTTATCAGTGAGCTTGGACAAGTATAACGAAAGTTAGCAAGTTTTGATAAGAGCAAAACTTTTATTAGGCATAATTAGTGAACAATGAGAGTCCTGACAAAATATTTTTGCTCATGTTGTTAGAGTTTGTATTTACAAATTTTGAAGGAAATCTATGACATTGTGGTACAAAACTGAAATTTTTTGGTCTCTTTTTATATGCTTTGGTTGGTGTGACGAAACTCTTTGCTACAGTTTAAAAGTGTTCAACACATCAAAGCTTCTACATCACTCTCTTTATCACGTAGAGCAGCATAAAAGAAAATGGCAAACAGAAGTCGTCGCTATAGTTTAGCTGCAGTTTATTGTGGATCCATTGAGGGTACTGCAAGGTTCCTCTAAAAACTTTGATGCATGATTTTAAGCAGGACATGGGAAGCTTGGAAGACCGGAAGGAGATTTGGCAGTCATTATTTCCAAGGCAAAAACTGCTTTTTGGACTAACCTCGCCTAATGAATAGATTCATATCTTCAGATTTTGTAGGATTAGTTTTCTCCCATGCAATGTATCGACGCCAAAGCTCTTTTTGTTTCACTTCGATTGACGTCAGCTGAGGTGGGACAGATGGATTGCCTCGAACTACACCGCGAGTTACTTCTTCGTAAGCCTACAAAGAAAGCCATCATGCTAGCTTGAAATGATATCATCTTTGGGGGCTACGATGAGAAGTAAGTAAGGAAGAGAGCAGGTAAACTGAGAAACAGAACATAAGATGGCAGTAGAAAACGAAAATTAGGAAATAATATCATAGTACTTTCACAAATACTCCATAAACTGAGCATCAATCGAAAACTGAAAACTTTTGATTAATATTATCTTCTAAGTACGGAATTCCTTGATCACTTTAAAAACCTTTAAAACGGCAAACAGCTAGCGATTGGTGTTTTCAATTCTGTGCGAAACAATGTCATGTAAATATTAAGTCATAACGGAGCTCAACTCGAACAATGAGAAAACTAAAAGAAATTGCCGGTGAAATCTCAGCAAGGGTCTCCTTAGCTTTAAGAAAACAGAGCACTTTTAGCAGTCATTCGCTTTTGTTGTGAGCAATCGCTGCCTAACGTAAATCAAATTTTCATCCTGGTAAAAAGCAACAGTATTTTATCATGTAAATCTAGATATATTGAAATCCCGCTTTTCAAAATCGGTAGGGACCAAGAAAAATGATCGTTAAAACAGAGATGTGCTCAAACAAGAATTGGTTAAACAGAGAAAATTCCAAGAGGCCAGACAATTAATTCATATAAGCGACAAGTTCGTAATAAAAAGAGCCTCGTAATAAGCGAGATTACACTATATCACTCTTCTCGTATAAACGAGGCATATATCGTATAAACGGGACACGTTAAAAACTGATGATGGAAAGATGTTTCCTAAAAAGATCTTGAGATACTAAAGCAACTATAAGCAACGGAGGTGTTGAAAATGAAATTAAACGTAGGCATTAGAATGTAGAGGAATGAAAAAAGGTGCATTAATGAGAGATATGCTTTCTTTCCACTATGAAATTTCTTCTAAAAATAACATATCCTTAGAATCCATTAGATTGGGCTCGACTTTCATTTACTGGTAATGATTACATAAAAATCGAGTTTGAAGAAATTCAAATTAGACAACTTACCTTAGCAACCTTTCTTGCAATCATGTGATCCCTAGTTTTGTCATGAATCAGCTTTTCTGCAAGTTGTTTGTTTACTCCCTGTTCAAATGCATTGTAGTCTCGCCACAGCGCCTCCATAGAGCTCATTGGCGTGACAACTGCACGCTATAACAACAACAGCAGCAATTATTTTAGGACGGTGGCCCATTGAGCAATGTAGATGGGTCATTGAAAAAACGCTGCTAAATTCGTCAGTTGTATAAAATGAAAGAAAAGTCACAAAGAACTTGCATTGGCGTCATTAAAAGAAGAAGGAATCTTTACAGTATCAACTGTTTAAGAGAAAACTGCAAAGCTTTTCTTCAAATTGTAGCTGGTTAAGAAGTATACCAATGAGATGCAAAGATATATTAATCAAACTCTCAAATGAATGCTGAAAAACAATATTATAAACAGCGATTTTCCAACAAATACAATTATTTTCTCTTCGCTGAATCAAAACAGACGATAGTAGACGATCTGCAAGCCTTTGTCGGCAAATTCCTCTACATAAATCGAGTTGGAATAGCCAATAGGAATACACCTCAAATCAGAACGTAATGAGCTGTGCATGCACAGAGGAGGCGATGCGGAGAGGAGGCGATAAAGAACCTAAATGTACATTAACAAATACTTCATCAAATACTTTTATTTATTCAACTAACAAATCCAATAATGTATTACATACAGTATAAACTTTTCTAATCGACATGATCTTCTGATTTTCAGCATACGAACCAGCAGCTTCTCTGCAAAATGCAGTTTTGGATAAATAAGTGAAAGAACTGAGATACAGAGACGAGTGTAGCATCTAAACATTAATGAGAGCTATCGACTTTAAAGCAGTGAGAACAAAGCAGGAAGATGAAAAGACATATTAAGGGCCTAAAGTTAGGCTTAAGCCATCTAGAAGCTATTCTTATCAATAAATAACATTACTACTTCATAAAGGCCTGGCTTGATATCATAACTGAATATTTGCCATCTGGAGTTATGAAAAACTGAAATTCGTTTAAACAAACTTTAAAGGGATTTTGTTTGAGGGACAATTGCACTGTTAGGAATGTTCTGTTACAGTCGAATGTCAGACCTCTAAAATCCCTGAACAGGTATTCTAAAGCCTTTGAGACAGACCAGTCAACATTAAAAAGAACCTTTTTCATATATAACGAGTTTGGAATCTAATGCTTAAGATAAAAGACCTTAAAATTCTAGAAAGGTGCAATTGATAACTTACCCAGCCTTGAGAAATGTGATATATTCATGCCAAATCTAAAAAAAATATGCTTAAGTAAAATCATTATGTTTGCCAATAAGAAAGTACTATAAATTAATCTAATCTCGTGTTTCCTGGAAAATAACAAGTAGCTTAGTCTTATCGTTTAGAAAATTTCATACAGGCAATAACGCTGCATAGGAAGCTACGGAAGTATCAATTTAAATTTCACGTACATTCTTGATATCTTTTTGTCAAATACGAGAAAAGAAGAATCGTTTTGTTGTGAAGAATAGTGACGCTTTGCCCCTGCATGTGACCATAAATGCTAATCGGCATATTTTTACTAATACATACATTGATGTGAAAAACTTTCAAATGATAGTAAGACTATTTGGGTGAGTAAGAGATCATTTGCACAGGAACACTACAGTTAAGAAAACCTTACCAGAAGGGCATACCAGAAGTAAGCACAATCAGAACATTATAGCAACACAATCAGGGTCTCAAATCCATTGTGTTATGCAACAACGATATGATTTTCTAAGTTAACCTAACAGAAAGAAGGCATATTTTTGCTAATAGAAAAGTATAATTCCACTCTGAAAATTACCAAAAAAGATGTCAGACTTATGGCTAGAGACATACCTGGTATGAATGATAATCAAGACCAACTTTGTCAACAGCAAACTCATAAGCTTGGATCATCTTCTCCCTGCCGTCGCAATACGGATAGGTTCATCAGTCGATTTAAGGTTATGTTGATGCATTAAAATAACGGAAGAACAGGTAATTTTATTTTACATTTTCTAAGGGATTTTTCGCCCTACGATTGATTTTGAGCAGTACTTACGCGATGCACTTTCAAGAAGGCTAAGATACGGAAATATCATTAATATTTTTTCTTTATTCTCATTAACTCCAGAGCAGCTGGAACCATCTTTGGTATCGGATATTTGGGCGGGAAGGGGCGAGAAGGGGCGAGAAGGAGCGGGAAGGGGCGAGAAGGGAAAGACTGGTTTGTCGCTAAAATTTCGTGAATCAGTGGCATGTCTTTTTAAACACATTTAGTTTTTACGCCATAAAGCGTATTTTGCTTTTGAACTTATATTCTATAAATATGATAATCAGGCAATTTGACACTCATAACAAATCATGAACTGTAGGATCCTACATTGCCTGGTGTTAGCTATGCAGCAACGTTGCTGTCAAATCTTGTATGCTGATTGGTTATTATCATTGGGAGAAAACAGAATAGATCAGTGTTCGACACCATGTTTAGACTAACAGTTACATTTGCAGTATCCCGGCCTTGCGTAAAGTAGGGCTTAAAATATTCAAGAAATCTGAGGGTTGCACCCATAATATCCTCTAAATTCTTCGATAATGGTTAGCAAGTAAATGAAAAATGAAATAGGACCAACCTGAAATTTGGCATGTTTTGTTTCGTTTCCTTCACGTAAGACAAATAACATTTCCACAAGTCAATGTTCAAAACTTTCATTAGACATCTTTGAAATAACTGTGCAATGGAAATTGAAAAATGATAGAACGTGTCACATGTGTAATGGAACGAACATAGCGAATTGATGGATTTTCTTTGAAAACTGGTCTTGTGCAAAACAACTACAATTCTTACTCATGAGGCCATATTTTTCCCTGTTCAAGTAATCGTTATGCCGAAAGTTGTAGAAACTGCAAAATATCTCAACTTCTTCTTATTAAAGATGATCATCTTATGCTTTTAAGAAGGGCATTATCACTTGCCTTGTAAATTCACTTAATATCTGCGAAGTTACAAAAGTTTAAGATCAACACTATTGGTCACGTAGTGTAACCTGCTGGGACTTCACATCATAGACCAGATAAACAAAAAGGCTCAATGTCAAAGTATGATTCGGGACCATGACGAACACAGCCAAAAAATTTTAGCTGGTGGCATTCGCGAAAGAAACTCTTTAAATTTAACGACAGGCAAACATAAATGAGTCAGGGTGACTGAACATAACATAAAATTCATTCCTAAATTCGCGATTAAATTTAGATAGGACTCCGTCTTCTCATCTCCTAACTTTGAAAACTTCTATTTGTAACATGGACTTTGGCATCAGATGGGCTGCTCTCCAAAAGTACATGCAAAATGTCTGCAATGTCCCTTAGGCCTTTTAAGCAAAATTTAAACAAGAACAATTTCTCAGAAAAATAAAGTCTAAGTTTTAGAAATGGTTTCTCTAAAGGTATTGGGTAGGCAGGCTTCTACAATATAGTCCACCTTGTTGGTCAAGAGTTTTAGGACATAATTAATCTTGGTGGTGCTTGCTGAATAAAGTAAATCAGTCTCCATTTCCTACATTCTTAATTCGAAATTCAAAAGTTTTCATTAAACGATTTCATTCTTTAGTATTCAAATGCAGCAAAGAGCTACAGGGATAAAAGGGTGAGTAAAACATAATGTCAATTGCCTCATTTTGGTCTTTTCCATCGGCGGCAAAATGGTTGAATTTTTGCTGACGTAAAAGCAAAACTTGCTAGAAACCATATATTTTATGACCTTGAAATCTGGTAGAGTTAGAGGCGTAGCAATAAAGTGTAAGGTGTGATATTAGGTCGAGATGAATAATAGAGAACACATGAAACACCAATCTGAACATAGAAAACTAGTAAATATGGCCTCGTTAATCTAGTGAAGTAAAATAACAGTTTTAGCGGAAAAACAGTTTCTGTTTATGCCCGTAGCTTTGAGTAAGGATAACTTTGAATGTCAGCTACTTCATAATAAACAAACATCTTTTTCCTTCATTTTAAGCCACCTTCAAACACTTAACAAGTTATATAGGATCTATAATGCATCATTTTCTGAATGTAGGATCATTTATTAACACCCCTATATAACATTAGGAGCTTCAGATCTGTTTCATTGGTGACAAACAGAAAAGGGCATAGTACAACGTATGATGCGGTTTCCTCGTATAAAAGTTCAGGGCCTAATACAACGTTATAAGCGAAAATTCATCGCAAAAGTCGAATTTTCGGCAATTTGATAACTTTTCAGCAATCACTCAAATTTTCAGCAATCACTCAAATTTTCAGCAATCCGTTTCTTACTTTGCTTGAAACTATTCGCCAAAAAGCCCGAAAGATGCTAAAGTCGAATTTCCCCGAACTTGAAGGCATTTTAAGGATCCTCACTGATTCGACGTAGGCGACAAAGAACTACAGTCATGTGCAAAAGTTTAGGACCAGCAAAAAATTGTGAAGAAACGCCATTATTTCCACAAAACACCATATATATTGACATATACTACATTATATATGATCATTATATATATACTTCAAAGGTATCAATAATCAATACTTTTTTAAATTCCAGTTAAATGTATTAAAAGGGGGTTTTTTAAACAAGAAATGTTATTTTGAAGTTAACCTAGAAAAACAGGAAAATGTGTCACGTGGTCTCAAACTTTTGCACACGACTGTATATATCAAAGTTAGGTCTTGATGAGAATTCTAAGAAAAACTTACCTTTTCGACGTGTTCAAAGTTCCGTTCTTGCATCTGTAAGAAATATTATCAAGGTAATCGAACAATGAAACTAAAATAGAAGACACGAATTGCTACTAATCTCGTAACGATTCCTAAAAAATTGGTAGGGCAATGCCGCACCAACAGAAAAACATATGCGCTGTTATAAATCCTTTTGCAATTTTCCCTTTCAGATGAAGACTATAAGGTTTTAGTACATAAACTGCTTATTCAAATGAAATAAGATGGGAACTTTCAACTTAATAAGCGCGTGAAGGTGGAGATGGTCTTGGAGGTGGTGGAAATTTGAGTAATAAATTATCTCGAAAAACAGAATCTAGAGGCCAAGTGGTCGTATCGAGAGTTGCAGTACCCTGGGTGCCAGAGCCTCAGTGAGTCAAAGGATGAATAACTGTGGAAGGAATTGAGTTGCAGCTGTGTGCGGGTGGATGTGGGGGTCCAGGTTGAACGCGTTGTTGTTTGCGTTCACAAAGAAAGAAAGAACGGTGTTATCTATACACTTTTTTTATAAGAACACGAGCTTTAATATAGGTCAAAAGTTAAGAATAAATTAAGAACCAGCTGAGGCAGAGGTACTGTAAAAGGTCATTTGAGCAATGCTGTGAAAGCAACTTAAAATATTTCATCTATAAAAGGGGACGTTATTGTCATCTAGGGGTGAATTTCGGTGAATTTTCAAACTGTCGGCAATTTAAGATGCCGTGCACATTTTATCAGCAAATAAGGCCTTGACACTCCCTTGAGCACAATAGCTAGCAATGGCATTTCATATACCCTAATAATTGAAGGACTATTCAGCCTTTTTTGAAAAAATTAAGAACAGCCAGCTTAAAATTCAATTTTCTGGTTCTTATATAAGTATATGTATTTTATCAACAAGAAATTTGAAGCATCACAGTTTCTGCAAGATAGATAGAAGGGGCCTCAAAATAATAATTGAATAGCGTTAAATAGTGAATAGAGGCATCGGTAGGGGGTCGTTGGGTATCCCCTTGTTTACTTGTTCGTTTTATATGGGCATATCTGGTAAATTTTTTACCAAAAATAGGTTCAAAATAGATAGGCCTCCCGAACCTTATTCCTTTGGACCCTGCCGGGGGTCTTTATTTCCCTAGACATCAAAGTTCATTTTATTTGGCGTCCACAGTGCCCCCTTGTTAATTACCGACCCTCTTTTACATTGCTACTTAAAGTTGTGAGTGGAAGAGAAATTTCTGGAATAGCATTTTCAGAGGACTTCTGATGAAGGCTGTCAGGAAGAATCATCGTCAGCATCATATTTCAAAGTTATTATAAATGAACAAGAAACTACTTTTTCTGAATTTTGGTGTTTATTATCCCCCTGTACATATCCGAAATTTGTAAAGTGAAACTTCCATATAGCGGACATATGTGGACCAGAATGAAGTCTCAATAGAGCAGACACATGGGAGACCTTAATGTGGAGCGAAATTGGGAAATCAGATTGGGACATCCATATAGGGGATGTCAATGGAAAGAGAGTTAATCATCCATACTGCAGAAACACGGAACTTATGGTGAAATCTTTAAGAAGCAAACACACGTGAGACCAGAGAAAAACAAAAATAAAGCAGAGAATCAGTAGACCAGAGTGACACCTAAATATAACTGACACACGAGAACTTTTATGTAGTAAGCATATGTTGTTAAATATACTAGATTGCGTGCGGTACAATATAATGCTATAATAACGATGAATGTAAGTAAATTGTACCAGGAAAAAATTTAAAAAACTGTTATTATTATTATTATTATCATTGTTGTTGTTGTTGGTATGTTTAATGTTTGTTATTTATTCAAAAAAAATTTTAAGCATATGTTGTGCCAGAATGAAACCTCAATACAGCACAAACATGGGGTACCATTGTCACACTTCAATAATGGGGATACCTGGGAGACAAGAGAACCACTATCGCACAGAGGGACCAGAGAAAAGCCGAATTTCCAATGAGCAAATTATACGCGTATCGATTCTGATCGTACAGCCGCGCATGCGTGTTTCTAGTTAGTTTTTTAAATACGCGTATTTCAAGAACGTGCATATGCACACAGTTGAATTCGTTCCTAATTTTTTAAGTATTATGCCGTATCAAGCCATGAAACAACCAATCAACATTTGTATTTCAGGGTATTGATATTGGAATCAAAATGGCGGCTAAAAATCTGTCGAAGACACCTGTTGCCAGATATCTCAGACCAATACAAAGTCTTTCGCTAGGACCAATGAATTCCCTTCGCAAGTAGAACTTCAAACTGATGTAGAGTCATCCTGAAGTATCTAAAGAAGTACTTTTAGTCGTACAAAAGAATATCTTTCTTTAGATTTTCGATCTGATAATAGTTTTCTTACCCAGAACCTTCTCATCTTGATAAAATGCTTTTTTGACAATAAAAGGGGAATAAATCTTCTGCTTAATACAGCTACCATCTATCATTCAATTCACGTGTCGAAAATTTTGTAATGGAAACTTCACCGCAATTCAAACATATTTCAATTCGATACGCGTAAAGGTTTTTCTATTGGAGATTCAGCTTAACTGTCCTTTGCTGGAAAGGTGCCCGTTATCTATAAGGCAATTTTGCAAGGCAATAATTACGCAGGGATGAAACTTTTAAAAAAATCACTATCCGATGTTAGCACATGTCCATCATTTTGGGGCATCTGTTCTTTAGAGTGTAATTTTTGAACTGCTTATAAGATAGATAAACTTTATAGCTTGATACATCAGTGAGAGACATCCCTTAGTAAATGTTTCTTAATTTTCAAAGCGTCCTTAGAAAAGCCAAACCTTATGTTAACAAAAATCCATCCATGGTGAACTACACGTGGCCTTCCATCAATAACATAGTATTTCAATAATTTACTATTTCAATAATTTCCTAAAAAACTGTTATCCAGTTCCTTTGTTTGGTAGAAAATATCAGAAATCTCAATTTCACAATATACTTGTAAATTTTTCGGTTTTTGTAAAATATTTAAAACACCTAAATGCATTAAGGTACACATTTTTCCGGTTTGGACAATTACATGTTTCGTATAACTCTTTTCCGGTAGCATTTTATTTGCAGCAAATAGATCAACACTCACTGGGAGCTACAAAGACGATATGATCACAAGAATAGCGGAAAAAATAATCGTTATGTTTTATCGAAGTCTTTCCAACAATGATGTTGAAAATATGTGAGTTAAATTTAACAGAGCTCGTATTTGGAATAGCAGAGATAACAGAGCTAATGGAGCGGGTTTCAAATGGGTGGAAGGCATTCTAGGTTGGTAACATAGAGTAATATTTCCACCCTTTACTACACCATGTTAAAGAAGGCAAATACGACGAGGTCAGGTGTAACTTGATGAGCTTCAAAAGACCTTGACTGCTTAAAAAACCTAAGGCTTTTTCTATAAATCACAATTATCAGTTGGTACTTTTTGAAAACTGCTTTTCTAATCGATTCTGGCGAAAAAATCTTGATTGTATTGACACGAATTGCTGTCTTTCTCGATTTATACAGGAGTTTACCAAAAGATAATTTTTTCAAAACGGAATATTGATTTCAGTGAGCCTTAACTAAGCAAATTTTATACGAATTCACGAATTGGAAGCAACTGACAAGGTATCAAAAGCAAACGTTAAAGCGAAGATTCTTGAGTAACATCAAAATTTGATTTCTGAACAACGTCACTTGATTGTGACAAGCTATTCTTTGGAATTGATTTTGCAACAAGTTCATTCTAAAAAGTGTCCTGACAATGGAAACATCTCAGGCCAAAATTCAAAGCGCTACTTTCTGTTTTGGTAGAAGCAAATGTTTTGGTAGAGGTTATTTCAATCTATCATTTTGTATAGGTTTAGTGTAAACATGTTGACTGGCAAATCGAGCTGTCCAACTTGATTTCACACTGAATTTTGTTTATCGGACTTTTTTGCTACTCTTCGAAACAAAAAATCGGAAAACGAATTTTGATGAGAAAAGCGATTTTGAAAATTTCAACGAAACAAGCTGCCGTTATGTCAGGTGACAAGCAAGTCACAATCACTTTAATGAACTGCTGTTATTGTCTGACAATGCATAATAAACGGACTCAAAACATGAGCTGTAAGTAAGAAAAGCCTCCATAACAGTCAACAAAGAATATACTGTGAGTCGATGTGACCAGGCCAGGATACGTACACGACGTTGCTCTGCCAATTGAAAGCGATAATGGTAGCAAAACTGAGTCCATTATCCTACAAACGGACAAAACTGAGTCCAAATGAACCCGTTCCATTAACGTTTTTAAATTTTCTTTTAATTTGGAAGCATTGTAAAATCGCAGTTTAGGAGGCTAGCACAGTGTGTTTGTTCTTTTCGCGAAAAATTGAAGGTAACGGTTAGACGCCATTTCGATAGACGCCAAACGAATGTTTGAAAGGCGAAATTGGAAAGGAAAACATTCTTATTCTTTAAATTTAGTAGCTCTGAAGAAAACTTGTTTACCGGAATGAATAATAGCGATTATGAAGTGTTGAATTTACATTTACATTGCCGTGCCCATTCTATTTCTCTCAGTGTATTGCAGTGCCTAAAAGTTCTTTCTTTAAGTGCACTGCGGTGTCCAGACCTTGTCTGTATAAATTGCTTGTCAAATGCAAGAGGTTTAACTTTTAAACTTATCATGACGAATTTGACACCAAGGAGAAGAAAACAGGTTTGCATCAGTGTGAATTACATGTGAGTTCTGATGTTATATATTTCAAAGAAAATGAAGTTAAAATTTTCAACAATATTTTTAAGAGAACTCATAGCGAGAAATTGTTTTCAATTTTTAACAAAACTCTTCTTTTCACTTTTGTCTTGAAGGCTAAAACGTTTGGCACAAAACGAGGGAAGATTTCGGAGTAATATTCTTGCTACACTATAGTCTTAACAACACTTTGAAAAATCAGCTAGATCAGAAATCAGAAAAATAAAAAATTCAAAGCAACTAGAATAGTTATTCTTGTATCATAATA